ACACAAAAACACGAACACCCAGTGAAATCTGAATTTCAGATGCAGAGTGAGTTTCAGTTTGCCCCCGTATTGTGTATTGTATCTAGCAACGCTAACAGCAGCGGGGGAGAGAAGCACAGCCTTCAACTGAAGGAAGCCTACAGTCTTGTGGGGGAGATGGCAGGGTGCAACAGGGGGAGAATAAGGCATCAGGAGACCCAGGGAGTGTGCCCGGGCCAGCAGGAGTGAGGGGAGTGAGAGGAGGCTTCCTGCATCTAAGCTGGGACCCCAGGGGTGAGGAGGAAAAAGAGTTTCCAAAGGCGGGGAGATGGGGCCCTTGCCAAGTGGGCAACACCGAACATGCAGTCCCTAACCCTGAACAGAGCCTGCAGCCTCCGAGGGCTTTAACTGGCCCACCAGATGTGCATTTTAGAAAAAGGGCAACGTATGGGGTCACAAGTGCCAAAGAAAAAGAGTGTTTCAAGGAAGGGGGAGAGAAGAACAGGCCAGATGTGGCAGGGAGGCCCCGAAGGATCAGGACTGAGACGTGTCCCTTGCAGGTAGCAAGGCTGCTGGAGGCCTCGGGAGAGGCTTCCGTGGGGCGCTGGGAACAGAAGCGAGGCTGCAGCGGCTTGAGAGCAGGCAGCGTCAGAAGCGAGGAGGAGGTAGAGACAGGGAAGGCCGCTTTCTCCAAAGGTTTTTGGGTGGAGCGAGGTGGAGAGCAGGAGAGCAGGGTTGAGGAAGGCTGGGGGAGGGCGGGGTGGCTGAAGGGACGGACCCTGAGGGGAGGAGTCTCAGCAGCTCCGCAGGTGGCAGGGAGGGGAGGGTGGAGTGCATTCAGAGTCTTTTCTGGTCTTTTTGTCTTTTCTTCTTTTTGAAATGGAAGGACTCTCCTTGGCCAGCTGATCACAGGGTGCAAAGTCTGCCCATCCATCCCCCACTGTGCTGTGAGTGCCGTGACAGGCCACCTGCTGGGCAGGGCTATCTCCCAAGGCTGTTCCCCAGCATGGAAGACTACAGTGTAAGGCAGCCCCCAGGCCTCCGCTGAGCATGTGAGTGAATAAATAGTCGGGAGCGGTTGAGAGCTGTGGACTGAGGAAGGCGAAGCATGGTGTTTGGGGGAGCGGCTGTCTTGGAAGGAACGGGAGTCCAGGAAGGAGGTGGGAGGGGTGCAGGGCCTGGGAGAGAGGGGAGACAGTGTCCCCATCCTGAGAGGTCAGAGGAGGGTGGAGAAGGTCGCCTGGGTTCCCTGCGTGCACAGGAGCTGGAGGGCGTAGCTAATGAGTCCGGCCTAGACAACAGCCTGGTCACTAGGAGCAGGGGTTTGGCAGAGAAGGGAGGGAGGGTGGTGAAGGGGGTGGGGTGGGGTGTGTGTAGGGGTGGGGAGATGTACTTTTGTCCCAGGGAGGGGGTTCCTTTCCTGCCCCAGGCCATGCCAGGTGCCTTGCAACCTCATCTCATTTATTTATTTATGTTAAAATATTTATTTATTTGGCTGCGCCGGGTCTTAGTTGCGGCACATGGGATCTTCGTTGCAGCATGCGGAAATCTTTAGTTGCAGCATGCAGGCTCTTAGTTGCGGCATGCATGTGGGATCTAGTTTCCTGACCATGGGTTGAACCTGGGCTACCTGCATTGGGAGCACGGAGCCTTAACCACTGGACCACCGGGGAATTCCCTCATCTCATTTAATCTCATGAATTCTCACCACCTCTCCTGGAAGATGATGCCGCTGTTGAAGATGACTGCTATTGGCGATCTCACTTTATAAATAAGGAAACTCGAGGCACCTTCACTAAAGTCACAAAGGATGGAAGTAGCACAAAGGACATTTAAACACAGGCCGATCTGACTCCAAAGCAGGCTCTGTCCTCCACCCCATGAGACCAAGGAAGCCCTGAGCAGGAGTGAGCCCAGAATTGGGGGCAGCCCCCAGGGAGAAGGACACTGCTGTGGGGCAAGAATAGGGCATTGGGCCTTCTCAGGCCTCTCGGGGGCCTAGGTGATGTCACCTCCCCAGGGGCCTACTGGGCTCACCTCCCGGGCCTTGTCTGGTGTCCAGCAAATTCCTGCAGCCTGGGGAAGATGGACCCAAGAGTGAGGAGTGGCAGAAGAGACAGGGCACAGGGCATCACAGTGGCGGGCATCTGTTCCCTGAAACAGCTGACCATGAAGTTCAGTGTGGGTGAGGAGACAAGAGAAGCCAAAATAGGGTGGGGAATTGCACTTTGCCCCTCCTCCCTCTGTGAATCCCCTTGCCCCACCCCTTCATGCTTCCTTGGCTGGCAAATACCGTTTCCTCCCCTGGGATCTGCTTGCCTTCTTCTCCTTCTCCTCCTCCTTCAAGGGCAAGCTCAGAAGCCCCCTCTTTCTACCTTGGCCACCCTCCTCCCCCCCTTAGCTCCCTCTTCTGGCCCCCGGCATGCTAGCAACCCGATTTTCTGACCCAGGAATGGGATGTAGGCCAAAGAGTCATTCATTCTAGTCTACCTACATTCCCTCCACGGTCTCACCCAGTCTCATCCAGCTTTAAATACCATCCAGACCTGATTGCGCTGAAATTTGTAACTCCAGCCTGAACCTCTCCACTGAGTTCCAGACTCTGATTACTCCACATCTCCATGTGAATATCTAAAGAGACATCTCAAGGGACTTGCCTGGTGGTCCAGGGGTTAAGACTTCGCACTTCCACTGCAGGGGGCATGGGTTTGATCCCCGGTCGGGGAACTGAGATCCCTCATGCTGCTCGGTGTGGCCAAAAAAAAAAAGTCTCATACCTGACGTGGCCAACACTGAAGTCCTGATCTTCCCCTCCCCCACCCACCTTGCTCCTTCCAAAGTTGTTCACATCTCAGTTGAAGTCACTCCATTTTTCCAGTAGCACAAGATACCTTGAAGTTATCTTGACTCTTCTCTTTCCCTCACACACCACATCCAGTCCATAGGCACGTCTTGTTGGCTCTACCTTGAACACGCATCCACATCCTGAACCTTTCTCCCACCTCCGCTGCCATCCAGCTGCTGCAAGCACCATCACTCTCGCCTGGATTATAGCGGTGGCCTCTGCACTGCCTTTCCTTTGACCTTGCCCCTACACTCTTTTCTCAACCCAGCAGCCAGGGGGTCCTATGAGCACATAAGCCATTCCTAATACTCCTTCCAAACTCTCTAATGGCATCGCAACTTGCTCTAGTCCCGGCCAAAGTATTTTTTAAAAATACATTTATTTATTTATTTTGGCTGTGTTGGTTCTTCGTTGCAGTGCACAGGCTTCTCATTGCGGTGGCTTCTCTTGTTGCGGAGCACGGGCTCTAGGCATGCGGGCTTCAGTAGTTGTGGCGTGTGGGCTTCAGTATTTGTGGCACGCGGGCTTAGTTGCTCTGTGGCATGTGGGATCTTCCCCGACCAGGGCTTGAACCCGTGTCCCCTGCATTGGCAGGCAGATTTTTTTTTTTTTTTGCGGTAGGCGGGCCTCTCACTGTTGTGGCCTCTCCCGTTGCGGAGCACAGGCTCCGGACGCGCAGGCCCAGCGGCCGTGGCTCACGGGCCCAGCCGCTCCGCGGCACGTGGGATCTTCCCGGACCGCGGCACGTGGGATCTTCCCGGACCGGGGCACGAACCCGTGTCCCCTGCATTGACAGGCGGACTCTCAACCACTGCGCCACCAGTGAAGCCCCAAAGTCTTTTAAAACATACAAGCCCTAAATGATTCTCTCCTTACTTGTCTGATTTCACCTCCCACTCTTCTCCCGCGGGCCCACTCTGCTCCAGCCACATTGTGCTACGTGTAGTTCTTCAAACATTCCAGTCATGCACCTGCTGGGGAGTATTGCACTAGCTGTACCCCCAGCCTGCAATGCCCTTCCCCCAGATAGCCTCACCTCCTTCAGATCTTGACTCAAATGTCACCTTTTGTTTGCCTTCCCTGAACATCTTAGTTTAAAACTATAAACCTGACTTTCCCCATCTGCCTTCCCTGCTTTATTGCCTCCATAGAACCTATATCATCTAACGTGTTACGTATTTTACCGGTTCATTCATTTAGTTTATTATCTGCCTCTTCCTTCTAGAATACAAGTTCTATGACGGCAGTGCCTTTTCTGTTTGGTATTTTCTTTGCTGCCTGCAACAGCGCCTAGCATATGGTTACTGCCAATGTTGCTTGAGTGGCTGTTTGGGGGCCACCCCTGTGCTGAGCACTGATGATGGGATAATGAGCAAAACCTGACAAAGCCTGTGAAGCTTGTCTTGGGCAGCGGTTTTCTGATTTTCTTGAGTACGACCCTATCTGGGAAGTCCTAGAAGAGAAGACTCTGGCTCCACCCCTGGAGATTCTAGGGTAGGTCCCGTGGTGTGCACAGTGCACAGGCTCCCCAGGTGATTCTGATGCCGGTCAAGTGGGGGTCACAGTGGTCTGCTGGGATAGACTGAAGTTAATATTGTTCAGGACGCCTAATGTCTCATTTTCACAGCACCTTCCACTCCCCAGTAAACAGTTGTTACATGCCTGTCTCACCTCTAAACAGTAAGTTTTGGACTGGGATGGCATGTTGCTCCTTTCTGTGCCCCCTGGGCTCTGCACAGCGTAGGTGTAAGTGCTAGTCAGTGTTTGAGAGAGCGAATGAATGGAGGGTGAATGAATGGTTAGAAGAAGGATGAATGACTCTGGTTAGAAAAGGAATTTCAAGAGTTCACTATCTAGAAGGTGGGAATTTTCCAAAGACTTCCCCTGTGCCAGAGGGTTGTAGGAGGGACTGGTATTTAAGAGGTCGTGACGCGTTTGGTTGTCTGGGAAGGTGGCTGCTGCGCAGGCTGACCCAGGCGGGCGGGGGAGAAGCGGAACAGAGCGCAGAGGCGGCGCTGCCACCCACCCAGCTGCCCAACGGCGCGCTTCTCTCGGGGCGGCGCGGCCGTTGCCATAGCTACAGACACAGCCAACCGAGGAGGGGGCGGGCCCGGGCTACGTCATTCCTAGAGCGACGCTGCTCCTCGCCTCCCGCCTCTTTCGGGTGCGAGACCCTCCGCCCGCCTCCCCGGCTCTCCACCTGCGCGGCTTCCCTCCCCCCCGCGCCGTCCCCTCCTCGGGCTCTGCGCCGGCGCGGTGCCCGCCAGGGCTCGAGGGGGAGCCTGCGAGGCGCATGCGCCGTGCGGGGACCGCCGCCGCTCTGGTGTCGCTGCCGCAGCCGTTGCCGCCGTTGCCGCCTCCCTGCTGGCAAGTGTGGGAAGGAGGAGCTGAGGGCCACCGCCGCCGTTGCCGCCATGGGGGTGAGTGAGGGAGGGAGAGGAGACGCGAGGGCCGGGAGGGCTCCCCGCTTACCCCCGTCCCCTGCGCCCCCATTGTTCCTTGAACCCCCTCTCACGTGACCCCGAACCCCTCCGGCCTCACGTGACCCCCAGCCCCCACATGACTCGACTCCCCCAGTCTAGTGTCCCGACGCCCGGCCCAGCCCGGGAATCTCCTGGGGAGCCCCGTCTCCGGGCCCCACCCCCTCCGGTGCCCCCAGCCTCTCGCGTCGTGCCCGCCCTTGCCTTCCTCTAGGACGTGTTATCTTCTTGGCCTCCCCTCTACCCCCGCGCGGTCCCTGGGTATCCCCCCCGCCCCCAGGGGTCACCCATCACCCCGCTGTCACCGGCTTCGCGGCTTCCCATATCCTAGGCCTACACTGGGTTAGAGGGAACCGAGGCCCAGAGAAAAGAAGGCACCCAGCCAAGGTCACACGGGCAGTGACTGGGCGCCAAACCCCGACTCAGGGCTCTCGAATCCCCGGCCGCCCGCTTCCCGCTACTCGGCTTCTCAGCGAAGCTGGTTTCCCCAGTCTCTTTCGAAATCTTTCCACCAGGTTCCTCCTGCTCCAAAAACATTCTCTTCCTTTTCGACAGAGGCCTGCCTTCAAGGCCTCCCAGATGCACCGAAGTGGGTCTTATTACTTGGGTTGTTAGTCTTCCTACTTCAGGTGGCTTTGGGTGGGGAAGCTGTGCAGAAGGTGAGCAGGGAGACGATGGAGGAGTACTGGTGATGGCCCCAGCCGGGGATGGATAGTGACCACCTGTTTTGCACAAGGCAGCCTGGAGGTGCGTTTTATGCCCTTCCTGGCATGTGCTGATAGAGGGTTGAGCAGAAGTTATTCTCATGTTTCTGTGAGATCACCTTCCTAAGTCCCAATTAGAGTAGCACAAGTCACTCTCCTAAAAATGTAACTGGCCCTCCCTGGTACCATGTATCTTAGTTTTTACATGAAATTTCCACCACCTTTAGGGAGTCCTGACTTTGGAGCCAGAGAGACCTCAGTTCCAGCCCCACCTTCCCCGGCTAGCGGCATGATATTGTGCCAGTGACCTGGCCTTTGTGGATTTTAATTTCCTCTTCGATGTAATGAGAATGATGATACCTCCCCTTTAGGACAGATGTGAGGATAAAATCAGGTAGTGGATGTAAATAGCTACATAGGTGCTTCTTAAATAGTGGCTGTTATTTTTGCCTGTATTCTCAGCCTTTAGTCATCTAAAATAGATTTGCGCTATTTTTAACTCATTGGGTTTGTCCCTACTATTATTAATCTGGATTTGTTTCCTCTCCACTCAAATAGTTATTGACTGAATAAATCAACTTGTTAGACAAAAATAGTTGTCTTGTCCATGTCGAAGCACTTTATGTAAAATCCATGTCAAACACATTCATCATGTTTCAACAAGGACTTTTGGATACTGTGTACTTCATGTATAGAAAATCAAGTCTGGAAACCTTAGGCATATTTAACTTAGATTTTAGTGAAAGGTCCCAGACCCCAGGTCTTGTTGAAACTAAATAAAATATTGAGTCCCTGGTATTACTTGGTAAACGTCTACCCGGCATCAGCCACTCCAGGCTGAGCAGAAAACAAGAAGCATAACATGCCATTCTCGTTCAACACTTCCTCATTGGTTGAGTTGAAATAGCAGGCCTCAGAGATCCTGCGATCCTTGCTGCTTCCTTAAGGGCCCTGATCTTATTACTCATACTTCACAGATGTGTTTCTCAGAACAGCCCCTACCTAGTCTCTGCAAAAGTGAAATTGAATTTTCCTCCCTGAAGCAGAGCTGGAGCCCTCTCATCATACTCAATCCTGATGGGTGGGGGCTGTGGACTCCCACCTCAGTGTCAGGAGCGTCATGGTTCCTAATGATTACCCTCCAGAAGAGGGCCCTGCTCCATTTGACAGCCTGACCACAGGCTGAGAGAGTGGCATCAGCTGGAGCACTGTCCACAGTTCTTTCACCCTTGCTGCCACACGTGTTTTAGGAATTAGAATTTAGAGCTCTGTCTCCCTTTGCCAAAAACTGAGGGGTTTTTTCCTGGATTCTGGATTCTTTGTGGGATGGAGGCATTGATACTGAAAACCTAAGGGTTGCCAAATCCTTTTTCTGGAAGGTGCCTCCTGCCCCCATCTGGGCGTTTTTTGTTTTTTAATTTCTGTGTGTGACCCCTAGCAGTCATGGAACTACTATTATGACTAGCAGTCAAAGAGGTACTCCTTTGAGGGAATTCCCTGGTGGTCCAGTGGTTAGGACTCCACGCTCTCACTGCCAATGGTGCGGGTTCAATCCCCGGTCAGGGAACTAAGATTCCACAAGCCATGAGGTGCGGCCAAAAAAAAAAAAAAAAAAAGAGAGAGATACTACCTTGATAGGAATAGCAAGGGGAGGAGTTAGACAGCTGCATGTGAAAACAACATTTATACCACACTTTGTAATAATAAGTGTCATACACATTTAACTGATGTAGTGGAAGGAGCAGGGACTTTGGGGTTCAGACCTGGATTTGAATCTTGGAGGACTCATTCAACAGGTATGAATTGCGTACCTGCTGTTTGCTGAGCACTGGGTATACGTTGGCAAATAAAGCAGATGTGACCTTCCTCTACCTTGTGGAGTGTACAGTCTGGTGGGAGTGGAGGGAGAGGGTGGCCAGAAGACCTCTTTGAGAATCCTGTTCACAGGCTCTGTGACCCTGAAAGTTATCTAATCTCTCTGGGCCTGTTTCCTCATCAAAGAAGTAGGCAGTCATTCCTTGCTGAGTTATTTCAAAGATTAAAATAAATCATCTTTATTAAAGCGCTAGCTGAGTGTTTATCATTAGCAGGTCCTTGTACACAGAAGTCCTTACAGTAAGGAATTTTTATATCTAGTACATTGTATCATTTTGTCCTTAACAACAGTCCTGTGAGGTATAGGCATTGTTAGCCCTCTTTTATGGATGTGGAAATTGAGGTTCAGAGAAACTGAGTAACTTGTTGGAGAGAGAGTAAATAACTTGCTTAGAGTCACACAGCTATTAAGTGGAAGAGCTGAGAATCAAATGTGGGTTTCTTGACTCAGAATCCCACACTCTTTATTATATAAAGCTCCCTTGGGAAAGACACTTAACCACAATGAGCTTTACTGTTCACTGTGCTTATTTCCCATTTTAATGAGGAGAATTTTCCTGTGCCCCTGCAGGGTAGTCTTACCTCCACGAGGCAGGACAAAGCTAATTGGAACAGTAGGAGACTACTTTTCCTAGCCGGTGCTGTGTTTGAGGGAGGGCCCGCCTGCCGCAGCCTGCCTCATACCCCGTGTGCAGGCAGCGAAGCGCTTGAGGGGCTCTTTCATTATCCGCGGCCTCTGGCCATGGCGGCCCCAAGAGTCACTGCTAGTTGCCTGGCTCACCTGTTCCCCTACGTGAATGAGCCCGTGAACGTCCTGGAGGCCCGAGCTGGGCCCTCCTGCCGCCTGTGCTTAGGAATTGCTTCTGGTGCTTAGAAATGAGACGCTATGGAGGGAACCTACACTTCAGTGCTTCCGGGGTCCTGGGAGTTACTCTTTCCTTCCGGCACCTCTGATCCCTCAGCTCTGTGCCATAGAGCTAACGTGCAGGGTGGAGGCAGGCAGCTGGCACCGACTGGGATTGTGTGCTGGCTTCTGACCTGTCCTTGGCTGTTCTGTGAGGCCAGCAGTTGTGTTCCCATTTTCCTGGAGGTGGAGCTCCTTTCACACACGGGGGGTGGCAGGAGGAACAGTGGCCTGGCCTGTTTGGTGCCAAAGCTCATATTCTTTCTGCCCCCGTGCACAGCCCTGGCGACCTTCCGTCTCAAGTTTCCATGTCCCTTACCCCTACCTCAGTGTGGATGTAGGGTCTGGGGTGGCGCTGTGCGGGCATGTCACGTCAGCTGTTACCAAGCCAGAAGGGTAATGAGAAGTGAATCACCAAGTGGCTGCCTTGAGGCTCCTGAGGTCTTGTCTTGACCTTACCTTGGCGGAGCTGAGGAGGCCTTGGACGCTGGTGTAGGCTCTCCCCGAGGGAGGCAGAGTGGCTGGTGGGACAAACACTGAATCTGCACCCAGCCCTGGGGTTGAGTCTCCCCTCTGCCGCTTACTCTCTGGGGAACTTCGAACAAGTCGCGCCAGCCCTTTGAGCCTCAGTTTCTTGTGTAAAGGGAGGTGATGGTTTCTGCCCGGAGAATTGAACCAGGTAGTGTTGGTGAAAGTGTTTTGCAAGATGAGTGTATCTCTCAGTGTTGTCTTGAAACCCAGATTCCCAGAGGAAAAAAGGTGGATGATGTAAAACCTCTTTGTGGTAGAGAGGGGCTAGTTCTGCCCCGAGATCCCAGTGTTGTGAAGACAGTCTGTTCTCTGCTGTTTGTCCCTCTAGGGAGGTAAGAAATGGGCGCTAGCGCTCGGCTTTCTGCACAGGGCTCAGCCTGCAGATAGCAAACAGCTGGTGCTGGGCGAGTCTATGCCTAGGAGAGCCAAACATCCCTGTGAGCTCCTAGTGTCTGAGCTCTTGCCTTCTGGGTGCCTGAAATAGGAGTTAAGCAGTGTCATTCCTTGAGGAACCGAGGGTAGAATTTATCCAGCAGCTGGGTATTCAACTCACCGTTTCCTGGGCCAATCAGTGTCAGGGCTACTGTGGGATCGGAGGTGGCAAAACCTCTCTCTGGTGAGGTCCGGAAGTGAGGGGTGGGGGCAGAAGAGGCAGTGCGGTTGGTAAAAAGCAGAGCCACCTCCCCAGTGCTTTTGGGGTACCTTCAGGACTTGGGCTGGGTGGGCAGGCACCTCCGGATGCCTGTGTTGCTCTGCTCCTCCTTGGGAGTGAGAATGAAAAGTGTCATTTATCGAGCACAGGCCATAGTAACCCTCATGGGCTTAATACTTCAAAGGAGGTATTAAGGGTCTTGCTCATCAGATGAGGGAAGGAGGCTCAAAGAATGGTTGTGTCTTGTCCTAAGACCAGAAGGGAGTAAAGGGCAAAAGGAGGCTTTGGACAAGGTCTGCTGGACCCCAGAGCTTGGGCTCTTTTCCCTGTGTTACCAGTTTTTACAAGAGGGTAAGAGGGTCCATTTAGATTTGAGAAAACCTCACGTGAGCCCCCAAACAGGGTCTGCTCCGTTTGGAGTTTGTGGGAGGTTTGCAGTTTGCTTCTCTGTGTAAGGACAGCCTCCCTTTGCTCCTCCTCTGCTGCCTATGTGTCCTGCAACTTGGCTTTGCTGACCACGTGTCAGTATGGCCTCTGTCCCCAGGTGAACCCCTTGGGGCCCTTCACTCTGCCCTGTCGCTACTAGGTGCTCGGTGTGTCTGCCACTCATTGGCCTTGGCTGAGCAGCCGTTTCTGGGAACAACTCCATCGCCTTAAGCCAGAGTGCCCAGCCCTAGCTTAGAAAGGAGACTCAACTCCCAAAGAGGCTGCCCCCAGACCAGATCTTTGTTTTCTGAAGCCAGAAGACACTGAAAAGGCTTACTGAATGAATTTATACTTAGAAACAGCTGTCAGCCACTACCTCAGATGCCATCACCTCCCTGAAACCTCCCCCGAATGTCTCTAAACTTACTTTTTCCTACCTTAGGAGGGAATGAATGTGTGAATATTAGGCAGCTGCTGGGAGCCCAGGCTCTGCTTCAGGTGTTGTCACATGCTCTCACTGGGTCCTCACAGTGACCCAGTGGTCCCAAGGGTCAGTACTCTTCCTGATAGAGAAGCTGAGAAGTCTAGTGACGCTCCCAAGGTCTCATGACTGGGACGCGCTTGGGTCTTTCCTACCCTACCAAGCAGGATCCGGCAGCCAGGATCCGGAGTTTCTGCTGTGGATTGGGGACTGACCCTTAGGGTCTCCAAAGGGAAAGTCAAAGTCAAGTCTTTGGTTGGTCACAGCCTTCCAGCCCACTTTGCTTTTCCCTCTTGCAGAGGAAGTCGAGCAAAGCAAAGGAGAAGAAACAGAAGCGGTTGGAGGAGCGAGCAGCCATGGATGCTGTCTGTGCCAAAGTGGACGCCGCCAACAGGGTGACTCCCCTCCTTCCTAGTCCCTTCCTCCTGGAACTGCAACTTGGTTTTTAATTTGATTTCTTTTGGCGCCACCCTGTGGCAGAATTGTGTTACTACGCATCCATACCTCTGCTGCCTCCTTGCTGCTGGGGAAAACTAGCCTGGCTGGCAGAGAGCTGCGAGGAGGGCCAGCGATTGGCCCAGGCGTGCAGGGAAGTGTGGATTGAAGTGGAAGTGGCGGGAAGTGTGGGTTGAAGTGGAAGTGGCGTCTTCTGTCTGTGGGTCTCCTTCCTTAACACTAGAAGAGGGTCTGCAGAAATTTTTCCTAGGGTTTTGCATTTTGGGGAGGAAACCTCCCTGGTAAAATGTGGTATAGTTTTCTCATTCTTTCCTTCAAACATTTATTGCCTGCCCATGGGGTACTACAGGTTGTGCCAGGGATGCAGCAGCCTGGTTTCGAGGGGCCGCAGTCGGGGGAGAAGTAGCTGAGATTCTGGTGGACCTGACTGGGAGTGGCTCAGCTTTCCAGTGGAAACAGAGAGATTCTGGTCACCCTTCCTGCCGCGGTTCATGTCCCAGTTTTTGTTATTCTTTTAGTCCACTCGGTAAACATTCACAGTTACAAGGGTGTGGCGCAGGGACATGGTTTTTCATTTTGGGTTTTGACCAGGGGAGGTTAGTTGGGGGCCTCTCAAAAGCATGTGAGTGGGGCTTCCCTAGTGGCACAGTGGTTAAGAATCCGTCTGCCAGTGCAGGGGGGCACGGTTCGAGCCCTGGTCCGGGAAGATCCCACATGCCACGGAGCAACTAAGCCCATGCGCCACAACTACTGAGCCTGCGCTCTAGAGCCCGCGAGCCGCAACTACTGAGGCCCGTGCACCCTAGAGCCCGTGCTCCGCAACAAGAGAAGCCACCACAATGAGAAGCCCACACACCGCAACGAAGAGTGGCCCCGGCTCGCCACAGCTAGAGAAAGCCTGCGTGCAGCAACAAAGACCCAATGCAGCCAAAAATAATAAATTAAAAAAGAAAAACTTATAGCATGTAGCCAAAACTAAAATCAGAAGAAAATATATCATTTTTTTAAAAAAATATGTGAGTGGAGCAAGGGACCTGTCTTCTCTCTTGGGTCAGGTGGGTGCTGAGTAGGTTTTATGCCCAGAGGCCGGTATTAGAATTAGGCAGTAAAGTCTCTTCTTACCTGTCAAATGAAGCTAAAACCCTGTTGGGCCTCCTTCCCAGAGCCTCCCTCCTACGTGTGATTTCAGAGCTAAGGCAGATGGAGGGTCCGTATATAAGGGCGGCTCCTGGCCCTGGGAGCTGAGCCTCCACTCGGGTCCACACAGCGTGGTACTTCAGGGTGGAGCCTGTGACTCTGCTAGGCGAGTGTTTGTGCTACTCCTCTTTTCTTTCCCTCCACAGCTTGGAGACCCATTAGAGGCTTTCCCAGTGTTCAAGAAATATGATCGCAATGGGTGAGTGTTCAGCATTCCTAACTTGTCTCCTTGAGTCTCTTCAGGAATTCACCTTTCCAGAGTAGGCTTCCTCAGACCCAACTTGTTTCATTCTTCGTTAATGAAAAAGCAGAAAAGATGGCTAGTACCCTGTTGATATAAAATCCCCCAGTTAGGGAGACAAAGGAATCTGCAAATGAGCAAAGATTGCCTAATCTCAGACTGATGTCTCTGTGGGACTTGTTATTCTCTCCGACAAAGAACCATAGAGCTGAAACAAACTTGAAAAATCATCTAGGCCGACTCCCTCATTTTATGCAGAGGGAAACTGCGAGAAGCTGAATGAGGTGTTTGAGCTTATGGAGCTTCTCCCTGGCCGCAGGGGGGAGCTTTTAATTCCCAGTCCAGCGTTCTTTCCCTGGGTCTGTAGTATAATTGTTAAAAGCCACTTGCTGGCTTTGTGACCCTGGACAAATTACTTAACTTCTCTGTGTCTCAGTTTTCGAATCAGAAATGGGTACCTTCCTCATGGAGTTGTCAGGAGGATTAGTTGTAAAGTGTTACTGCCTGGAGCATACGAAAGGCTAGGTCAGTGTTAGTTGTTATTACTACTGTTTTTTTTTACTAATCCAGTTCACTGCAGAATCTAGACTAAAGCCCCCTTCCACTTTCTGTTCCTTTGGTTTGTAAAATAGGTGGCATTATCGGTCTTACCCAAGATGCTGTTGGCTGAGGGGAAAACAGGGGCTATGATTTTACAGAATCGTTGCTATGGGTCTGAATCATAACAGTGCCTCTTATTAACTATATTTGGTTAAGTGAACATATTCTTCAAGCCTCGTTTTTCATCTGTTAAATGGAGCGATGATGCCAAACTTGCAAGGTTGTTTGAGGAGGACAGAAACTATATCCAGCTCTGTAAGTTGCAGCTGGTGTGAGTATTTTAATGAACAAGATAAGACAAATGTAAATGCATGGATTATGAAGGGAAGACTATAGTAGGTAATACTACATTTGCCTTTCATAGCTGTGTCTGAATTTCATAGTATCATATTAATTTATTCTTTCTGTCTGAGATCAGATGCATTATGCTTCCTCTGGAAGCTTTGTCATCATTCATCCTCTGGGAAGTCCTTTGACACAGTTTAGAGATTCCTTGCTGTGATCTCTCTCAGTGTTCCCTATCCCACATTCGCACTGACTTCCAGAAATATGGACCAGCTCTGAAGCAGGCGTTGCCAGCTGACTCTGGGCTCACTTGGTGCCTGGAATTGTGTGGCTGTGATCCTACTTTCATGTACTTAAGGAACTCAGATTAGTGGAGAATTTATACTTGCAAACCAGCCTTGAGAAAATTTATAGCTAAGACAGTTGCAGTGCTGTGCGTGGGCATTTCTGACCACTACATGGCCAGTACTTGGAAAGAAAGGAAGGCTGTTCAGAGCCAGGAAGTTCTGAATTCACAAGGCCACACACACGTGCAGCTCGTATGACATACCAGACAGCAGAGGTGACCGTGGATTCCAGTGGTGATGTCCTCTGAGGAGTCGAGTCAGTCCTTTCAGAATGTGGCACTACCTGGAGAATATGATTTCACAGTTTGGCCAGGGAGTTTAATCGTGATTTATTTAATTCATTTAGACCTAAATAGCAGATTGAGGGAACTCCCTGGCCGTCCGGTGGTTGAGACTTGGCGCTTTCACTGCCGCGGCCCAGGTTCGGTCCCTGGTCGGGGAGCTAGGATCCCGCAAGCCACGCGACGCGGCCAAAAAAAAAGGTCGATACCTTAACACCTACATCATTCGTTAGTTTAGGAAAACAGAGCATCGGGGTGAATCCCGATCTACCCTGTTTGATCAGCTGAGAGCACCCACTGTGTCCTCAGAGGAAGCAGTGGGCAGGACTCCTCAGGGGGATGTGGGCTATAGTCTTCCTGAAGGGCCTGAGGTCCTCCAGCTGCTTTTGCAGGCAAGGTTGGTAGATAAGAAGGAAGAGTTCCCCTGGGAGCCCAGTGAAGACTTGATTCCAAATGAAAGCAACAGGAAAAATGCCTAAGGGCAGGAACCGAGGGAACAGAGAGGACTCCGGGGTTTATAACAAACTACAGAAGAGAGGGTGGAGAGAGCAAAGAGCTAGCAGAGAGGGACCGAAGTTTCCAAAGTGCTGCCTCTGATAAGGGCTGTGCAGGGAAGGCAGGAAATGGGCTTGTGGTCAGGGCGGTGGGCTGGTGATGACAGTTGTTAATCTCGGCTTGAACGGCCTCGTTCCTTCACAGGCACCTTCTGTAGTCACGTCCGGGCTCGGCTTTTCTCTGTAGATTAACTGAGACCAGGCGGGCCTCGTTGTCAGGCTGTCAGGGCAGCCGGTGGTGCCGGGCCTGTAGCCGGCTCCAGACGCCTCCTTTTCCTCTTCTCAGGCTAAATGTCTCCATTGAATGTAAGCGAGTGTCTGGCCTGGAGCCGGCCACCGTGGATTGGGCCTTCGACCTGACCAAGACCAATATGCAGACCATGTAAGCACGCCCTCTCGGGCAGGGAGACTGGCCCTCCTCTCCAGAGCCCCTGTCCTGACTGCCCCCCACCCCCACCCCCACCCCCACCCCCGTCTCCCAGGTATGAGCAGAGCGAGTGGGGCTGGAAGGACAGAGAGAAACGCGAGGAAATGACGGATGACCGAGCCTGGTACCTCATCGCTTGGGAAAACAGTTCGGTTCCCGTAGCCTTTTCTCACTTCCGGTTTGACGTGGAGTGCGGGGATGAAGTCCTGTACTGGTAGGGGCCCTGGCCTGGGGGTGGGCGCGGGGGGAGGAGGCACCCCAGCCAGTGGCAAAATCCAGCACGCCCGTCTGGGTCTGTGGCAGGCCTCGCAGCCGCCCCACGCTCACTCTGCTTTCCTCCCCCAGCTACGAAGTGCAGCTGGAGAGCAAGGTGCGGCGGAAAGGCCTGGGGAAGTTCCTCATACAGATCCTGCAGCTCGTGGCCAACAGGTGAGGGCCCTCCGTGCACCGCTCAGTTGGAGGGAGCTGCCTCTGAGGCATCCCCCGTGGGGGACAGGGCTCACGGGACTGTTGTGAAAGAAAGGTGTCTAGAACCCTCTCAGTAAGCTTCTCCCTGCCCGGCCATGACTCCAGATTTTGTACACTGGGCTCAAGGAGGCAAGCACCTCTGAGTGCCTGCTCCGCGCCTGAGTAATGGGGTGCAGAGAGGACCTGGAGGAGAAGCCAGTCAGGTGGGGGCCTGATTAGCCCTGTCACAGGGGGCGGCACCCAGTGCTGTGGGTGCCCAAGGCAGGCTAGAGTCGGGCCTCAGGAATACTTCTTAGGAGCAAATGGGAGACAGCAGGCAGACACGAGAGAGCAAGTGGGATTTAGCACCTGTTTCTCTTTCTGGAAGGTTCTCTCTGCTTTCTTCTCAGCACACAGATGAAGAAAGTTATGTTAACGGTATTTAAGCACAATCATGGTGCCTACCAGTTCTTCAGAGAAGCGCTGCAGTAAGGAGCTGGGCCCCGGCGTGGGACGCTCTGGGTGGTAGCAGCTGCCTGCCCCAGTGTCTTTTCCCCCATCCTGGCCCCGTTTGTCCTGACGTTGAGCTCTCGGTTCTGAGGTCCTTGGGGCTGGCAACTGGGGAGATGGTGTGGGAGCGCCTGTGGCTTGGTCCCCTGCCCTGCTCCTGAGCCCTGACTCCTGGGGAGGAAGGCAGTCAGCTGCCCGTAGCCAACCCTTTCCTCCTGCCCGCCTGCAGATTTGAAATCGACGACTCTTCCCCAAGCATGTCCGGTTGCTGTGGGGAGGACTGCTCCTATGAGATCCTGAGCCGGAGGACCAAGTTTGGGGACAGCCAGCACTCCCATTCGGGCGGGCACTGTGGTGGCTGCTGCCACTGAACCCCCAAGCTCTCTCCAAGGCCTGTTCTCTCCCCGGTTTCAAGCCGCTTGCCAGGTGCCCTCAGAGCTGTGGCCTCCTCAGCCCCAACCCTGGGGAGGAGTGGTCCGCGCCGCCCCTCCTGCTCTCTCCTAGAAGAGCAGGGTGCCGGAGGGAGCAGAGAGGAGAGGATGCTGCCGGAAGAGCCGGCGGAGGCCGGGGCACGAGGTGCATCCTCTCACGGTGGCTGCCTTCTCGCTCGGCTCTCGGCCCTGAGCGTGGGTTCTCCGACTTCCCTACAGCTGGATTCCTGACAAACCCCCCTCCCCGCCACACACACTGCTGGACAAATGGAGTGTTTATTCCCACCTTGATGAAAGTCCTGGAGCCCTGGGTCAGGGTCTGGCTGGTTCCCAAAGAGGAATGGGCTCAGTGTAAGATCTGGGCGTAGAGAGAGTCTTCAGAGAGATTCCTGTTTCGTGGATGGGATGCTCCAGTGGAGACTTCAGGAAGGTCTCTTGTGCCATGACACAGGGAATCGAGGGAGCTCTTTCTGGCTGTGCCTTCGCGGATCCAGTTAGAGTGGAGTCGTCCCAGGGGACCAGCCGACTCTGGGAGAAAGGCTGCCCCCCCTCCCCATTGCTGTCAGCACGGGGCCGAGAGGACAGGAGCAGGTGTGAGTGGGGCCTGCCGTGGGGGCTGTGGCTTCTCCGGGCTTTGGGACCTGGCCGCACCCTGAGCTTAACCTCTTGATCTCATGGCAGTGACTCGAGATTTTTACTCACAGAAAAGAGCTGGAGCCCTGCCTGCTCTTCTCCGTCACCTCTCACCACTGTTTCTGCCCCTGCCTCTCCCCCCACTCGATACCCCTGTTCTTACTCTCAAGGGGGAATAACATCAGGGAGCCCCTTGTCTTCCCCTAGAAGGCCCCTTGCTCCTGCCATATTTAGTGCCGTGTCCTCTCATATCTTGGTGCTGTTAGCTCTCTGAAGGTGGGTACCCCCCACCGCCACTGCCCCCTTTGGAGAGCCCCCAGCCAGCAGCAGCCCCTTCCTGCACTCCCCAGCCTGGCCAGACGCTGCTCTTCTCTCTGGTGTCACCTGCGGCAGGCGGGGCGCGGGAGAAGCTTCCTCTCCCCTCCTGGGATAGAGAGGGCGCAGGGTCAGAGCTCAGACTTGCCCTCATCCCCAGACCGTTATCCCCTTCCAGGGAAGAAAATGACCAAATCCTTAGCCAGGAAGAAGCACCTACCGCCTCCCCTTGGACAACCTTGAGCTCTGCCTTAGGGAGCGTCTCAAAGGTTCTGCCTTTGCGAGGTTGTTCCGGAGGAGGTCTGTCAGTCCTTCTGACCTCGGTCTGCTCACGCCCCACCCTCTGCCCTGACTCAGGCTGCCTGTGCCGGCCATCTCCCCCATCTCCCCGGAGCTGTTCTGGCCTCTCGACCTGCCAGCAGTGGACGTGGCACTCCCTTGGAGAGGGCCTTGCAGCTTTACACTGGAATAAGCCCACCTTTACCCCTACCCTGCTGACTCCCAGGAGATTTTACCCAAGGGGGAGAGTTTTCATTGCTGGAAGGGCATTGGAGGGCTCCTTCCAAGAATCATGGAATGACAGAATCACATTTAGGAAGAGCTTTTCCTCTGATCCCTGCTGTCTCTCAAAGGACAGAGAATGAAATATTTATTGTCTTAGATCATGGGTTTCTGATAACCTCCCACTCAAGGGGACCAAAAGGGACCCCAGCGTAAATCCCACATAAAGGGAGTTAAGTGTGCGTGTCTCCCCTCATTGGACACCTGGCACCGAGCCCCATTGGTAGATGGGCACTTGGTGTTAGGCCCTGCTTGTCCAGCCGCCTTTGCCACTTCCCAAGGGCTGGCTGGGTGGGGAGGCGCTGCCTGAGACCCGCAGGTCACCCTGTTGTTGGTGTTGAACCCACTCAGTTCTCAGCCATCAGTCTCTCCATTTCCCCAAGGTCTTGGTTTTAAGAAACATAGCAGGCCTTTTGTACCAGGATTTTTGGTTTGTTTGGGGCATGTTAAAATATTAATTTTGAGATTTGTTTTTTAGTTGTATCCACCCTATTTCAGGTTATTTTCATTGATGTCAGATGTGTATGACATGTGTATGGTTCTTTTTAACCCTTCCTGGTGTGTTTTTTTTTTGTTTTTTTTTTAGAGGAAACTTTGAAGATAAACTCCTTGATATATATATATTTATATATATATATATATATATATATTTTTTTTTTTTTTAGCAACTTGTTATCACTGGAATCAAAGGGAAAAAGTGATCTCTTTTTGCATTGGTTGTATTTGTATGTCACAAATAAAAGACACTTTGTTCAGCTGCTGGGACGGCTTCCTGCTGCTGGGGTGCCATCGGCAGCGTGGGCTCAGACCATCCCAGCGTTGGGCCTAAACCCTGGGGCGCACGTAGCTGTGACGCCCCACGCCTCTTTCTGTGAAGGAAGCTTTGGGCTGAGAAAACCTCAGGGTGTCTGGGGCGAGGAGCCAGACGTGGGAACTGAGACCGAATGCATGTGTTTGTGCCACTTCCCAAAAGCCCTGGGTAGAGGTCAAAAGCCTTCTCCTGAGGGCCACCTGCTCTGCTGCTGGAGAGAGTCCCAGGCCAGGCGTTGTGACATTGGACATATGTGGGTAAAGGTAGATTCCAGAACACTTGTGTGGGAGTCGCACAGACGAGAGTGTTGGTGTTTCTTTCCTCCCTTTTACTTTATTGGGTTCCTCAGGATATTCTGTGTCTCTTAAAAGGACTCCAGCCCCCTCTTCCCTCCACTCACGAAAGACGAAGGCTCAAAGGAAGGGTAACTCATGTCAGGCCTGACAGGGCAGGAAAGTTATGAGCTGGGGGAGGCTCTGGCCCCTCGAGTGTGACAGATGGAGCTGTGCACTTCTCTCCGAGGCCCGTGCCTGGCCCGGGGAGCCAGGAGCAGAGGGAGGAAGTGGGCCCGGAGCCAGGGCTCAGAGCGCTTCCTGTAGACACTGGAGGGGCCAGCCTCCTTGCGCTTCTGCTTGGTGGTCACATCTGCCGGAAGGCGGAGAGGGCGGCCGGGATGGAGACCCAAGCCCTACTGAGTCTTCGAGCTCTGGTGGGGCAGTGATCCGGGGAGAGAGGAGCAGGGTTAACAGCTGTCTCTCTCGTGGGTGCCAGCATGTTGTGGCCTCAGCCCCGTGGGTGGGGACACAGCCAGGGCCTGGTTTCTGCAGCTGCCTTACCTTGGAGGCGTGAAGAAAGGCCTCCCAGTCCTTGGGAAAGGAGACAGCATTTCAAATGCTGGCGAATCAGAATCATTCAACAGACTTCTCGTGTGAGGGAATTCTGTCCCCTCCCCACCCCGGAGCTCTTTGTTCCTTGAAGGCTGTCTTAATCCCAGGCAGGAATTCCTTGGAATGACCATCCCCTTGCCGCAGTGGCGGGCTCCCTCTTTGGTCCTCTGAGGTGGCTGTTCCCACCCCTCCCTCCACCTGCAGCTCAGACTTTGTCACTCAAGCGGCACTGGCTGGAGCGCCACCCCTTCGGTGGGCGGATGGAACCAGAGGCACAGTTGCCGCACGAGAGGGCCTCAGTTTCGGTCAGAGCCTGAGGTGGTCTGAAAGGGACTGCGTTTCCCCAGTGTGCGAAACCTGGCCACCAGACGTTTCTGCCGCCAGGCTTTGAAAGTGGTCAGTTCAAACACAGCAGGTTTATTCTCGTTTTTTCTGCTTTTCCCTCTCCAAGTGCAGCAGAGGTCGTTTCTCTACCGCCCGAGGTCAAGGGTCTGGGACTGTAGGGGAGGCGCTGCAGAGGCGGCTGGGAGACTGGACAGCCCCATGCAGGCGTCTCGTTACTTGGCTGCGGCGAGGAAGGAAACTGGCATTTGGTGATTCCCTGCTCCGCCAGCGACCACTCACACTTGACCTTACGGTGCTGGGCGCCAGGGCCGGATCTGCATCCGCCTGCAGTGCCCTGGCACATGGTCATGCCCCCGGACAGGACGTTGTTGACATCCAGGTCCTTGTTGATGTCGATGTCTCCCTTCACGATGCAGTCGTGGGTTGTCTTGTTGGTCCTGGTGGGCTCCATGCCTGGTCTTGAGGTCTTGTCTTCCCTCTCAGGGCCTGGCCAGTAGGGGCGCTTTCTCCTGAGAGAGGCCTGCCTTTTCTCCCATGCAGGGGGCTGCCCAGAAAGACGGGGACTGGAGTTGAGAAGGCCAATATCAAGGAATGTCTGCCCTGCGGGAGCAGAGACTCACCCACGGTGGAGGGCTGGAAGAGGGTCTTAGGACAGGGGTAGGGCCAGTGGTGATGACCTGCCTTCTCCAAGGGAGGAGGAAGCAGCCACAGTCATCTCATGCTCAAAGTCCGGGGCCACAGACCCCAGCTTTCCCTCCATGTCCCCTCATGATCTCCTGCCAGAGCCCTGGCTCCAAAGCCAGCAGCCCAGCTTAGCCCCCTCTGACCCAGGCCCTCTGAATCCCATCCCTGCCCGGGGTGGGAGCGCAGCACCCGCGGGGGCCCCGCTGCCACGTGCGCATGCACACGGTCTCTGCATTGCCCGGGTCCTACCTGTGCAGAAGTGGACAAGGTGAACATGAAAGTCTGTCCTGGGGCTTTCGGGATCCCTGCTCTAAGAAGATGAACGTCTGCTACAGGCTGGCAGGGAAGGGCTGCCCTGTGCTCAGGGTAGGCCACCCCAAGGTTGGAGGGAGGAGGCCCTGAAGGAAAGGGACCAGGTGAGAAGGCTTGGAGCCGCCGGCAGAATGGGATTGGGGGGTGCAGCCATGAGCCAAGGTGTGAGAGCCGACCTGGAGGTGTCTGCAGCTGCCCGCGGGTGCCACCTGCCCTCTTCCGCACATCTGAGGGTGCTGCGACCCCCGGGGTCCAGCATGGTGCGTGGGGGGTGCTTTACACAGGGGCTTCAGGCGGAGCTGGGGAGGGGGTGCCAGGAAGTGGCCTGTACTCCTGGGGCAACCCGTGTCCTGAATGCTGGATACAAGGAACAGGATGGGCAGGGACGTGGCAGGAGGGGTGTGGGGATCAGGGATGGGGCTCTCAGGTGCAGGGCCTTAGGGCCCTCTGGGGGCCTGGCTGTGACATGGGGTGTGGAGAGCAATGAAAAGTTATGGGGGCTCGCCCGGGGCTGGGGATCGCACGTCAGGAGCCCAGAGGTGGGGGGGGGGCAGGGTTTGGAGTAGTGAGGCCAGCCTGGGGGCCCGGAAGTCAGAGGGCTCTGGACACGGGGTTCCAGCACAGTAGGGGTGAGACTGGGGGCCTGGTCCTCGCTGGTGTGGCCAGAGGCACACAGCCTCAGCACTGGCTTGGATGTCACCCATGTGGCAGGAAGGTTCAAAGTCTTGAACGTGACCTGAGTGGTCCTCATCTTGCTGTTGGCCTTCGAGTTGAGTGGGGCCTTGATGAGCAGTGCCCAGTGCCCCTCCCAGGCCACACACAGCTTGTAGAAGCTGTGGTGCAGATCTCCGTGTCGTCTTAGTTGGTGATGATGCCATGCTCCGTGGGGTACTTGAGCAAAAAAATGCTGCACTTGCTCTGGGCCTCTTGCCCACTTACGAGTCCCGGTCCAAGCCCATCGTGACGCCCTGGGGAGCTGGGGAAGGAGACCTTGGGTGTGCTTGGGGGGGTCGCCCATCCCAGCAGCCCTCCCCTTCTGTGGGTCTCCAGTTTACCCATCTGTACTATGGAGTAGGGGCAGTGGCAGGCAGACTTGGAGACCTGAGTGCCGTGACTGCACAGGTGTGGGGGACCTTCACCAAGCCAGCACCATAGTCACACCCGAGCTGGCTCGTCACACTTGGCTGCTGGCTGTGGGCTGCAGGCAGAAAGGGGTCAACTACCACCTGGCTCCAGGCGGGCACCCCCCACCCCAGCCCACAGCCTCCTTGTGCCTTGGCAGCTGCACCTTTCCAGCCAGCTGTGGGATGCCTAGGCCAGGACAGCTGAGTCCCCCCTGGGGAGGGCAGCACCCTGGCCCTGCCCCCTGCCCTCACCCTCCCATGTTGCTCCGCCCCCGACAGCTGTGTCCTGGCCTGCCCTGGATGTCTGGCTCCTGGTGACAGCTGTGCCCCAGGAAGAGCAGATGGGACCCTGCTCCGTTCGTGTTCCACCCCCGCCCTGGGGGCTCTTTGCTCCTTGTTGAGGACAACCCAGACCAGGGCCGGCTCTTCCTAACCCTTTCTCCCCTTTTTTGCGTGAAAGCCCCCATTTTTAATTTCTCTGTGCGACCCCTAGCAGTTATAGAGCTACTATTGTGACTGGCAGTAACAGAGATACTACTTTGATAGGAATAGCAAGAGGAGCAGTTTCACAGCTGCGTGTGAAAGCAACATTTATGTCTCACACTTTATAACAAGTGTCAGTTACATTTAATTGATGTAGTGGAAGGAGCATGGACTTTGGGGTTCAGACCTGGATTTGAATCTTGGAGGACTCATTCAACAGGTATGAACTGCGTACCTGCTGTCTGCTGAGCACTGGGTATACGTCGGCAAATAAAGCAGATGTGACCTTCCTCTACCTTGTGGAGTGTACAGTCTGGTGGGAGTGGAGGGAGAGGGTGGCCAGAAGACCTCTTTGAGAATCCTGTTCACAGGCTCTGTGACCCTGAAAGTTATCTAATCTCTCTGGGCCTGTTTCCTCATCAAAGAAGTAGGCAGTCATTCCTTGCTGAGTTATTGCAAAGATTAAAATAAATCCCCTCCCTCTTCTTGAACCCTCCTCTTTGGACACTGGGCTCTTCCTGAGGCTCTATGAGGGCATCCTGCTGTTACCCCCACCGTAGGGAGACAGTCCCCACCGGCCTATAGAGAGCCAGCAGTTGCCCTCGGAGGCCTGGGAGGGGTCTCTTCACACTATAGCCCCGGGGCTCAGTGCCCAGCACTCACTTGACGTGTCAGGTGGGGAGTTCAGGCCAGTGCGGAGACTGGAGACCCCTAGCTCAGGTTCAGACCAGCTCTGTGTCAGATGCTCTGTGAGGTAGCAAACTCCAGAAGGTGTGTGTGTTTGGGGTGGGGGGGTCAGGTCTGACCCCCTCCCTAGGTCTCACAGCTCCATATTTGGAGAGATCAATGGTTGAGCCAGAGCCTTTAATGGACGGGGACCAAGCCAGGGGTGGGGTCACCTGGTGTTTCTCTAACCCATGTATGGCCAGTAGGTTCTGGGGGTCAGCCCTGGGATGGGGCATCTGGG